AAATATTTCTGATTTTTTAACAGGATCCAATAAGTGTCTTTACACTACAATGTTTTGAATATTAAAAATAAGTTCAATCCGGAAACTACCCAAAAAAAGGGTTGTTTTTGGACGTATCTTTTCGAGCCAACTTCGAGTCAAGCTTTCGTTTGTTAATTGATATTTTTTTAAAGTGAAATACAGCATCCTCAAGTCTCCATACTAGCTAGTACTAAGGTCTACATGCTGAATGTAAATTCAGTATATACCAATAAAGCCACATTCTGAGCATCGTTAATTAAGCAATTGCCAACCTTTTATGTTTCTGCTATCACCTTCTTATGTTTAGCTTTCAACTAAGATACGAACGATTTCACCTGCGATTCGGTAGGGAATGTCGAAGCATCATTATAGTCAGCAGTAGGATGAGCAGACAGGAACACTTTGAAAGCAGCTCCAGGCATAATATTGTACTCGGCTTGCTGCACAATATCTACCAAGGTGATTCTAAACGGTTCCTGAATACCTCTGCATGTCATTTGGAGACTTCCATGCTTCTTGTGCTTGGCTGTTAAACTTGTGATGTGCTAACGGATTTCAATTACCATACCACATCAAATTACTTTTCACAGCCCCAATGCTCAAAAAGTGAAGGATATGCCTTCTTTTTTAGCCAGTAAAAATGTCAAAAAAATTTCGGTTCGAATTAGGAAAAACCAGATTGTGCAGTTTTTTTTTCAACAATTATTTCAAACGTTTGTAAGATTGAGACCGAAAGTGGAGAACAATGATTTATTTACAGAAACTTAGTAGAAAAAAAGGTCAGTGAAAAAATTTTGGGATATCGTACAAAATCGTAAAATAACAACAATTTGTACAGATGTAAAATTTTAAAAAATTGGAACAATTACGCATAACTCATAAGAATTGGCAGGTCTGCAACAAGAAAGGAAGCTTATAGTGTTACTGGAATTGTATCAGGGCCAACTAGAAAGGAAGCTTATAGTGTTACTGGAATTGTATCAGGTCTGCAACAAGAAAGGAAGCTTATAGTGTTACTGGAATTGTATCATGGCCAACTAGAAAGGAAGCTTATAGTGTTACTGGAATTGGATCTGGGCCAACTAGAAAGGAAGCTTATAGTGTTACTAGAATTGGATCAGGGCCAACTAGAAAGGAAGCTTATAGTGTTACTGGAATTGTATCAGGGCCAACTAGAAAGGAAGCTTATAGTGTTACTGGAATTGTATCAGGGCCAACTAGAAAGGAAGCTTATAGTGTTACTGGAATTGGATCAGGGCCAACAAGAAAGGAAGCTTATAGTGTTACTGGAATTGGATCAGGTCTGCAACAAGAAACCAAGCTTATAGTGTTACTGTAATTGTATCAGGTCTGCAACAAGAAAGGAAGCTTATAGTGTTACTGGAATTGTATCATGGCCAACAAGAAAGCAAGCTTATAGTGTTACTGGAATTGTATCAT